AAAGCTATTTCTCTCATTAAATAAGAGGTAAAGATTATAATGTTAACTTCAAAAAAATATTATAATATTCACTTGGAATAACTAATTTAAATGCAATAATTATTTTTATAAAGAAGTTATATTCGTTTAATACAAATTTCACTCTTGGAAACATATTTGAATTCTTAATCAAAATTTTAAAAAATAAAAAAGAATTGAAAATCATTTTTTTCTATTTTCAAAATTAATGTTGTAAGCTTAATTTGTAAAAGTGGATAATAAAAAATAAAATAGTTATAATTTTGAAGAAGATTTATAATTAAATTTCTAGAAAACAACTTTAGAAGTTGACCATGCACCTACCAAGTCCAAGTGTTATCAACTTATCCAAAAACAAAAAATAAAAATAAAAATAAAACAAATAAAGAATTATCATGTGCGGCGGTGTCACTTGCAAGTGTGCCAAAATACTATTAAATCTTAATTTCGGATACCCACCATTACCACCAATGAAGCTTTTGATTCGAATTTTTTGTTTTTTTCTTCAACCTCTCATCTCGATTTGGTCCAACATCAGACGGATGCTATTGAATTGGAGGTGGACCGGCCACCGTGGTGTCGCACTCCGATCATCAGAATCAGGTAGAATTCGTTGACGCAGTACAGTAGAAGGAGGAGAAATCAATTTTGAAACGTCTATGGAAACTGTGGTAAATCTTAAGAACCTAAGAGAAGAAATCATGGACTTTGAACTCCTGAGCCCTAGAGATCTTCAACGAAGGTGTTCTGTCTGTTTCAATTTTCAAAGGAGTCGTAGGAGGTAATTCCTCAGTCCTCCTCATTTCTTCAGTTCGCTGTTTTTGAACTTGTGAACTTTGGAGTGAGTGAGTTTTCGTCGCGTTGGGAATATAATATTTCGTATGCCGATTTGAGCGAGATTTGCGCATAACCGTAAGCAATAATGCAATATACGTAATGCTTTATGATATATAATGATGACCAGAGAAATAAAAAATTGTATTGATGGCCTCAATTAGTATTCAGTGTTTTCGTACTGTTTAGACAGCACTGTCAAAGACTTTTATTTTGTCACCCACTTCCGCAGCTTCCTACGGACATTATTAATTTTCAATATAAATAAATAGCCATGTCTGAGTTAATCAAATACCAGATCGCGGAGGGTTCCTTTACTTGTTAAATGTTTTACTGTAGATTTGATTGGCGTGGTTAAGTCGAATTCACCTCAGCTTCGTCCTGGTTGATGAACAAGTCTATCCTTCCGAATTTCTTTTCCTTTTGGCCGTTTCCTGATTTCTGACGTGGATTTTTTCTGTTCGCCTGGAATCGGAGTTCTGGGATTTCCGAGATTTCTGCTAATAATTTGATCTGTTGCTTCGTTGTCGTTACCCTGTTGGGATTCGGGTTCTTCCAGGTCTAGATTCTTTTGCGTTTTCATAGCTGAAACTTGTCGGTGGGATTCAGCTTTCTTTTCTACTCAGGGATTGAAAACGCAAATCAATCGTGAATTTAGTCTGCTGTTCAACAGAGGAACCGACATATAGTCACGGTGCTCTCTCGTTACATTTCTCTTCCACAGCATTTTGGAAATTTCGTTGATCTATTGTGAAAGACGATATCAATAGGTTTAATAAGCTCAGGAAAGAAAGGTCTTATTTTTAAAAAATGGCGTCAAGATTCACGCCTGGTGAGGATACTGATGATAAAGATAGTATCTGGGTTTTGGATCAGGAACTCGACCAGCCAATGGATGAGGAGGCTAAGCGGCTAAAAAATACGTTTCAGGAAAAGGTGCGTTACAAATCCCTTCCTCCCGCTTAGTGCATGCGTGCGTGTCCAAGTTTTGGAAGCTCAACACATGCATCTAGCCCTCTTTTCCTCATTTTACTTGGAACTCCATATTATAACAGTTCGCCATTTCTTTACTGCCATTTAGTAAAACCAAAGTTTTGTGAATTTTAAAGTGAGAGTTTAATTATGTAGATGATTTGCTTTCCCTGATGATTCATTGCTCATTTTTTTCCCTTAGGATCAATCTATATTTTTAATCCTACAACTTGCATTCCAAAGCCTTGGAATAGTCTACGGAGATTTAGGTACTTCCCCTTTGTATGTCTTCTACAACACATTCCCTGACGGAGTTGAAGATACAGAGGACTTGATAGGGGCATTGTCATTGATTATATACTCTCTAACCCTCATTCCCCTTATAAAGTATGTATTCATTGTCTGCAAGGCAAATGACAATGGTCAAGGTAATTTGATTTCAACTGTAAGTTACCTCTACTCGAGAACGCTTTTGCTGTAATATTATAAAGATATGTCTATTTCTACAATTTTTAAGATTAATCTCTGTTTTCATGGTAGCTGTTAATGTTGGGGACTCTTAGAAGTTAGAACTTAGCCTTCCTCTCTTATACATTCTCAGGCATTATCAATCACCGTGGTGAGATATTTATAAAGGGATATTGTTCCTTACATACGCATTTAAAAGTTCTCTTTGCGCTTGTTTTAGAATGAGGTACTGTCCTGATGATATCATTTCACAGATGGATAAATAAAGGACGCATGAAACCAACAAAGAACGAAAAGACTTCATGACATAAGTATAAAGATCATATTCTTTGGCAAATGTAGTCTATCTATCTTGGAAATGAATTACTGATGAGAAGTAAATTTTATTTACATTCTTTCTAGATATCCTTCTTTCATTATTTGAAGAGAATTTTATAAAATTGAGGTGTATCTATTAAATGGTGTCAGAGGTTTCCCATTTGATACTGATGAGGGACTCCTTAAGAAAAATTTGCTCTCCCTTGGTGCAGGTGGAACATTTGCTTTATATTCATTACTATGCCGTCATGCAAAAATATTAACTATTCCTAACCATGATCATACTGATGAGAAGCTTACAACTTATAGTCGTTCTACGTACCGCGAACAATCATTTGCTGCAAAGACTAAGAGATGGCTAGAAGGACATCATTTTAAGAAAAACATGCTTATTGTTCTCGTTCTTGTTGGCTCTTGTATGGTGATTGGGGATGGAATTTTAACACCTGCTATCTCAGGTACTGGTTACTCATTTTAAACCTGGAACTGTAATTATAATTTCTTATGGAATCTTTTAGTGACATCATAGAAAAAGTAGAGCGGTTAGAGAAGTAGACGAAATAGTCATGGGATAGCATAGCAACATGTTGGGAGTATTCGTGCATGGACTTTTAAGGAACATTCCAATTTCTCGGAGTTTCATGTCCACCTGAGTGTGGCTAGTCCTATTTTGTTTCTATAATGCTTTCATTGCAAAAGAAACCTCATACAAGTTGTCACGTATTTGGAACATTTTGGTGTACCTACAACTGTGGATATACCTCAATTTAATTTTCTAATATGAAATTCTGAGTTTAATTGCATCACAATATGATTGAACTTATTATAATCTGCAGTTCTTTCTGCTGTTGGGGGGATCAACGTTGGTCGTGCAAAGATAAGTAACGGTATCTTCGTGGTCCTGAAACATTCCTTTGCACTCACTCTTTCAATCATCTCTTTATTAATAATTCAAGTTCTCATTCTTTGTTCCAGATGTAGCTGTTCTTGTTGCTATTGCCATACTTATTGTCTTGTTTAGCATGCAACGTTATGGTTCGGATAAAGTTGGTTGGCTTTTTGCCCCAGTAGTTTTTGTGTGGTTCATCTTAATAGGAGGCATCGGAATATTTAACATCTGGAAATATGATAACAGTGTCCTCAGAGCTTTCTCTCCTGTATATATATATTGGTATTTCAAAAGGGGAGGGAAAGCTGGATGGACATCCCTTGGAGGGATCATGCTTAGCATAACAGGTAGGTTACTTACATGTTACTATTAGTCCAGAATGTCAAGTGATCTATGTGTAATTTCTGACCTCTAATATGGGAATATATTACAGGAACGGAAGCACTTTTTGCAGACCTATCCCATTTTCCTGTTTCCTCCATACAAATTGCTTTCACAGTAGTTGTATTTCCTTGCCTTCTTTTAGCCTACTCTGGACAAGCTGCCTATCTTATGAAAAACCCAGATTACGTTGTCGGTGCCTTCTATCATTCAATTCCAGGTTTGTTTTGAATTTAGTTTCTACGAGCATATTGCTTTAGAACTTTCTCATGCACTGCCAGGTTGAAACATTGGCCAGATGTTGAAAAAGTTGGGAAAACAAAGTCAGCGTAGCTCATTATTAGTATTTTCACAAAGTTTTTTTATCCTACCCAAATGAGTTTGTCGATATTGTAATCTTTCCACAATAGATAATACATTTTTCAATTCAAGGGGTGGATGTTGCCTTGAACCGAAAATGATAAGGTATTCCGTATTCGTGTCTGCAGACAATATATATTGGCCAGTATTTGTTGTTGCAACTGCCGCGGCTGTTGTTGCAAGCCAAGCCACCATATCTGCAACCTTTTCATTAGTCAAGCAAGCGCTTGCACTCGGTTGCTTTCCAAGAGTTAAAGTTGTTCATACTTCTAAGAAGTTCCGCAATCAGATATACATTCCTGATATTAATTGGATCCTGATGGTCCTTTGCATTGCCGTGACAGCTGGATTCAAAAATCAAAGCCAAATTGGAAACGCTTCTGGTAAGTTTTAGTTCTTCAATAGCTATGTTTTTATCTAATCCATTAGTTTTCCTCATAGTAATATGTTCAAATATTGAAGGCTGTGATCACATATAATTGCATGGGAGTCAATTTTCTTATTCCACAACCCTTTTATCTATCCTGTAAGTATTCTTGGTAGATCATGAACAATCAAATTTTCATGGTAGCCTTTGTTCAAAAGAGATGAATGGGAGATCTAGTTTCTTTCTTCACTATGGATGTTTTAGGTGGCTTTATCCCTTGTCATACGTGGCTCCATAACACATTTTCTGTGTTACAACAGGGACAGCAGTGATAATAGTGATGTTGGTGACCACATTTCTCATGACTTTGATAATGATATTAGTGTGGCGCTGCCACTGGACTCTAGTCCTGCTCTTCACTTGCTTATCACTGATAGTGGAGGGTACCTACTTCTCCTCAGTTGTCCAGAAGGTTTATCAAGGTGGATGGGTTCCATTGGTCATAGCAGCAGCATTTTTCATCATCATGTACGTTTGGCATTATGGTACAGCTAAACGTTATGAGATTGAGATGCACAGTAAGGTTTCAATGGCATGGATTCTTGGCCTTGGCCCAAGTTTAGGGCTTGTAAGGGTGCCTGGGATAGGGCTTGTGTACACAGAACTAGCAAGTGGAGTCCCCCATATCTTTTCTCACTTCATCACAAACTTGCCTGCCATTCATTCTGTTGTGGTTTTTGTCTGCTTGAAGTGTCTGCCTGTCTGCACAGTCCCGGAAGAGGAGAGATTTCTGGTAAAGCGTATTGGACCGAGGAATTTCCGCATGTTTCGCTGTGTAGCTAGATATGGTTACAAAGACCTCCACAAGAGAGATGATGATTTTGAGAAGAAACTATTTGATAGCCTCTTCTTGTTTGTTCGACTCGAGTCCCTACTGGATGCTGGGTCTTCGGAATCGGATGTGTCTAGCTTACTCGATCAGCAAACTGAAGCAACTATAGATTTCCAGCCGGAAAAGCCTAATTCAAATAGATCCTCCGTGGAATTGACAGACCTTCCAACGGCAGACTCGATCCAGCTTGCCAATTCTCCATTGCAGCAGAACCATACCATCATATCACCCAGTCAAGAAAACATTCAGACTGAGACGGATGAGTTAGAATTCTTGGTTAGCTGTAAAAACGTTGGAGTTGTACACATTCTTGGAAATACAGTAATGAGAGCTAGGAGGGACTCCAGTTTCTACAAAAAGGTAGCCATTGATTATATATATGCATTTCTTAGGAAGATCTGCAGGGAGAACAGCGTAATGTTCAATGTTCCCCATGAGAGTTTGCTTAATGTTGGGCAAACATTCTATATATAACTGTTTAGCATCTGTAAGAAATGTTGATCTAATTGATTCCTTGCACTCTTAAAGTTAAAGAGTTTATCCATCAAGATTACTTCAAGGCATGTGCAACCAAAGCAAATGTTGGCTTAATCAATCCATGGAAGTAAGCATTTCATAAATGGTTCACAGCAGTTAACTTAACCTTCAAACTTGTGTAAACGATAGAATCTACCAGAAATTAACTTTAAGAAACATACATTAAAAATCGCAATATGAACTTCAATTGGCTGGTAACCCATTGTTCTCTTTTTGTATATGTTGATGTCAACTGTGGTCATAAATCATTGACTTTACATACAAATAAATTCCTCAGGTGTCGCACAAACCACAATCTTGCTATCGACGATGATATCTGAAACCAACCTACAAATCTGTTTATCCAGAGGCAGCCCCTTATTCATATATTACTATGTAATACACTCGCCTTATACTTTAGTAACCGAGTACATCTAGGTAAACAACTCTTATCCATGCTTAACTTGGGAAGCAAAACAAAGGTGGGTATGTATGAATCATCGAAGACAATTACTTAGGTGTCTGATTCTGCGGTGATCTTGTTTGGGTAGCCGTAGACATCACGCGCAAGCGCCTCGCTATATCTGTGAAAGACGGCCGGGCTACTGGGTCAGGAGACCAGCACTGTTCCATCAGCAATCTCCAGTCGGGGTCACAGAAGTTGGGGACTGGCGGTCTCAATGTGTTGTTCACTATGCCTCCTGAATGGAAAAGAACTCAAATTCATATGAATCCATTTGAGTCGTACGTAAATAGAACAATTGTATTTTCACACGAAAACAAAAACAAACAGAAAAAACAAAAAACAAAAAGAAAAAGAAAACCCTTCTAGAACTAAATGCAGTATGTAAACAGCGCAGGAAACACACAAATGCGAATGTCTACGTAATGATGTATCAAATTGGACACCAAGAGCAGCCAGAATTTGGGGGAGGGGGGTGTAAAAGGCTGATGAAGGCCTGCTTAAACAAGCTACTTGAGCTAAATGCATACACATGAAGACAGAGACGAAGCCATTCAGATAAAATTCAGTAACTATTTATTTGCAGAACTAAGCAATCCTGCAAGCTTGTGCAGTTGCATAAACCAACCAGGTACGGGGGTTGGTCCCTTACCTACCATCCCTTACTAACCAGAGAAGAGTTTATAAATTATATACAACCCAAGCAAACATAAAAATGTAGATTTTGTTTCTTTTTCACACCTATGATTGCTCCGTAGTGCATATTAGCATAAGGCTCTTCCCCAGTAAGGATCTCCCATAGGACTATACCAAAGGAAAACACATCGACCTGCCAATCAGAAGTAAAAAAATAAAAACTATATGGACGATAGTCATAGAATGTGCAGAAATGTTGAAAAAGGAAACCCATTAATTCAACCTACTTTTAGTCATAAAAACAAAAAATTCACTCGGGATACTTTCTGCTCTTCAAATTTACAGTTGGTTTTTTCAGTTAACAAATAGTATGGTAACCTTTTGTTATTTATTTAAGAATTTGAAAAAAGAGCTTATTTGATCGGCATTTATGCTTTGAAGGTATTGAAACAAAAAAGGCACTCAGGATTCTTGGTATTTCTGAATCAGCTTGGTTTGGTGCCTTTTTTAGTGCGATTCCTTACTCTTCTTCTTTGACCCTTCTTTCTTTTTTGCAAAATCAATTGTTACCTCCGCCAAAAGTGTAAGAACTTCCTTCTCTACTTTTTGCCTTTGATTCTATTCTATTTCGGTTTCATCTATTTATTCTCACTTTTTTTATTAAACATTATGCATGTCGTCTTCAGCTAGCGCATCCTTGAATTTTTTCATGTTTTCTTGTTTACCCCTAACTTATACACATTGGCTAAACGTTTTTCAACTAAATTTTCTGGGGTTTTTTTTTTATGATCAATTTTCACACCCCACGAGTGCGTTTTTCTCCTTTTCCTTTTTTCCCTTAGTCTTCTGCCTCATTTTGATCCTTTTGTTTCTCTCACTGCAATTTTATTTAAAAATTCAAAATTACAATATCAGTTCAAAATACGTTATGTAAGTTTAAATTCAAGTAAATAAGAAAATTTGATTTATGTTGTCAATCATATATATCGATATATTATCAATAGATTATTAAATTTAATATTAGTAACTTATATGATGTGCAGAAAATATAGGGCTCGTTTGGTAATATTTCCATTTCTTGTTTCTCGTTTCCAATTTTCTTAAGAAATCTAAATATTTTTCAACTAACTTTGTTTCTTGTTTCTCTTTTTTTTGGGAACATTCTCACAACTGTATAGAAATTTTGGAAACAACTAAAACTAGTTTCTCCTTTCTTGTTTCCATTTCCAATTTGTTCCAAAACATAAATAAAAAAATTGTTTTATCGTACTTGAATTCTTAGAAATTGGAACCATGCAATAGATTTTTCTTCATTAAAAATAAAGAAACAGGAATAAGAAACAGGAACGTTACCAAACGAGCCCATAATGTCTTTATTCATAATTAGTAACTTGTTGATTTGTTATTCGATGTCCAGACTATAACTAGAATTGTGATGCTGACGACAATAGATTTAAAATCTTAAAGCTATTGCTAGCATTATTGTTATCTTCGGGGTTATCAAGTGGGTTTGTACTGAGTATTGAGTTTTAGATGTAAAATTCAACAGTCTACTTTTGAAATTATTAATTATTGATAAACTGAATAATATTTTTAGAAGTATTCTCAAGAATTTTTAAAACATTTTAAAAGTTTTTTTAAAATTATTTAAATGCCTGGTATTACAAACTTTAATATATATATAATTTAAGTTATGTTATAATTTCAAATAATCATTCAGTGTTTTAATATGCAAGCAAGTTGTATACAATATATGAGATTCAATAATTATTGAGCATTTATATTGTCAGCATCAATATATTGAAGTTGTTGCACTAAGAAATTTTATTGTTAATTCGAAATTCAGATGTTATATGTTTTAGATGTTTTCTAGAATAAACTTTCGTCAGCCTTAACTCAAATTTTGAAGTTCTATTATTTGGTTACTTTAAGTTTTTCCTTATTTATGGAATTTTTATAATCATACCAATATTTTTTCTGCTAATTATTTAAAAGGGGTGAGCTGCACAGGTTGCTTATATGGTTAACAGTGTGGTTAGCCTAAAGGAAATGGAGGCCAAACAAAAAGCACAGGCAAAATAAAGGTACAGAATAATAAAATAAGTACCCTGAAGACCTATAGATAGATTCAGAAAAGAGGTTGACCTAAAATCTACCATATAAAAAAATGAACAAAAGTTAGAGAAGAATATTGGATTTGCCTATCTTTTCAGCCTCATTTTTATTTTTATCCATAATGCCATCAGTAATACATGCTATTCTCTTCTTAAGTTGTGATAGTAGAAATGAATCTTATATCTTACCTTTTCAGAAACCTTGCTGCTGCTACCATTAAGTAGTTCTGGAGCCATCCACGGAAGTGTCCCTCTCACACCACCAGTAACTAAGGTGTTCCTTTTTATCTTTGACAAGCCAAAATCTCCTACCTTTATAACACAACCAAGAGCAAAAAAAAACAATGCAGGTGAAAATAATCCACCACCAACATAAAAATTCTCTTCAAGTACAGTGGTGTCTCAAATACCTTGCAAATTGGCCGCAAAGGATCTTTCAAGTTGACCAGTAAGTTGTCGCACTTCAAATCAAAGTGCACAATATTCTTTGAATGCAGATATTCCATTCCAAATGCTGCATCCATTGCAATAATGAGTCTCTTCCGACGATCCAGGTACCTGGAACACTTGCATAACATGTAAAGAATGAGAATGAACAGAGTTCTCTTGAACAATTCAAGTGCATGCAAGATAACTTGAAACAAAAAAAAATTACCGTTCTTTGCTAAGTAAAACATTCCTCAAGGAGCCATTGACCATGAATTCAGTCACTGTGGCCAATGTCCCACCTGGTCCGTCCTGCACCACACCATAAAAGGCCACCACATTTGGATGGTGAAGCTTTGAAAGAATCTCAGCTTCACGCCAAAACTCTACAGTCTGAAAATTACAAATGCAATATATGAAACTAGAGAATCATGACGACGACGACGACAACAACAACAAAAAAACTTTTGATCCCTATTTGTTTAAAAATAAACCAACTTGGAAGTACTTTTTCACTTGAGGGAAAAAAGAACCGCCTACTACAACAACACATAATCGGCTGCTATAAAAACCAAGTTTATCAGAATGCTGGTGGGAGGATTGTTTGCTGGTTCTACGCTTGATAAATAAAATTTACAATTGCAACCTTTGATTTCCTATCCCACTTTTCTGGAAATATTATACCATCAGACCAGTGTTCAATTTACTACTAGAAAGAGCTTATAAGTAATAACCTCTGGGAGATCATTCAAATGGAATTTAACTCACCAATCTTTCTTGCTCTGAGGACCTACAGGTGAAACAACTCTTTTTTATCCGCTTAATTGCTACATCTGTACCTCGCCACTTCCCATGGTACACTGTACCAAATGTTCCAGAACCCAATTCTCGCTGCTCTTCAAGATCGTCATTCTTAATTATCTGCCAGGCCATCCAAAATACATAGTCAACAATACAATATAGGGAGAGACGAGAGTAAAACCTTAAATCCTATATGTCCTCCCAAGATCAATATAAGTACATTGACGGTTGACCACGACCCAAAACAACATCAAAACCAGTTTATTTCTAACAAAATAATTTAGAACTCTTAAAAGGTTGGTAGGTGAAGCATAAAACAATGACCAAAAAAAAATCTCTCACATATATTCCATACTTGCATCAGACTTCCAATAAAAATTCTTTTATTTTTCCCTCTCAAAATATATAAAAATAGATTTTTATAGAAAAAATAGATTATTAACTACACAATCTAATAATTTGCTCCTTATCAACAAATTACAAAATTCATTAAGATTTTTCCAACTGTTTCAAACGTGTTTCTCTTTAAGTTCCCACCAAATAAGGTGACACAGTGAAGTGCAAAAGACCAGCTAATAAATAACAGTAAGCAAACAGCCTTGAAGTGACAAGTGGAAAAAAAAGATTATCCAATAATGGAAGCAGTGGATAAGATTACTGCAGATGCTGAATTTCTTAACTTCTATATGTCCTTGTGCTAGAAGATCTTAACTAGGTAACTTCTCGTACAATAGTGGAAGCAGTGATAAGGTTACTGCAGAACCTCAGAAACCCATACATAACCTTTTTTTCTTTTTTGCCAGAAACAATAATTAGGGAACCTTTTTTGCTGTATTGCCTTATTAATATTAATTCTCCAAAGAGAAACCCAGGAAGCAAATATCTGAACCTTTTTGAGAAATTGCAAATCTTCGTTAATGTAAGTACCAGTGAAAGCAGCATAACATTGTGTTGGTTAATTATTTGTTAAAGAGCACCTTACGGCTATAAAGTCCTCTAAGCTGCAGCCCTTGTATATAAATAGGAGCTACTGGTTCTGTATTCTCTTTGGGTTGATGAATAATATTCCTTTGTTTCTAAATTCTCTGCTGCACTATATTGTGAGGGTGGATTTTTCAAATACAAGGGAGTAAAATCAATTCACAACTGTTCAAAGCCTCAACTTCAGAGCACTGAACAAGAATTAACATTTTATAACAAGCAATCTAATTAAATGAATAAATGTTGTTAAAGTGCAAAAGAAACGGAATTTTCAACAGTACCTAGTTCCATGCATTAAGGGACTCAACTGTGAGATTCATACCTGCAATGTACTAATATCAAAATCTTCAAGATAAAAATCAACAAGAGGTACACCAATATCTTGGATATCCAACTTTGCATCCTAAAACAAGAAGATAAATGGGAAAATGCAGTGAGAGGAAAGCAATAAGCGGGGTGCGTATTATAACTGAAAGAGTTCAATTGAAAAATACTGCATTGCCAGCTTGTGGGGCTTTCGTGCTATGTTCATCCAACTGGATGCTTTCGTTGTCCTTGAGCTTTGAAGAATTGTAATCTGTATATATATTTGTAGCGTTGGGTCCCGTGAGCAGACGTGATTCATGCTGAATGTTGTCATCAAAATTGATATGAGAGTCTCTGTGATAAATGGCACCTACATCTGAATGTAAAAGGGGATACCTGTTCATGGTACCCCCTTCTTCAATGTTTGCAAGTGAGGAAGAGAAGCCCAGGTGGTCTTGATCCATAAGGGAAACATCTTTTCCAACAAACTCATCCTGAGCCAAGTTTCTAAAATATGACCAACGCTTAGGCTCATGATTCTCGACATTCAAGCTCAAGCCAGCTCCATTACCATGCAATGGAGGGATGCCAGAAATGTTTTCAGAATTTCTGGCCTTTGAGAATATATCAGAAAGGAAATCACGAGGAAAGCGGTCATTAATATCAATAAGAATGTCCCCATGCTCTGAAGTGCCAATTCCAACTCCAGACTCCACTTGAGTATCATTCTTACCTGGGTTTTCTGTCAATGATGAAGTCTCTGCTTGCTCTTGAGTTTCAGTTCCATGGTTCTTCTTATGTGTACTTCCATCAGTCCAATCTGATTCTGGTGGTCGCATAGAAGATTCCTCCTTATGCTTGTCAGAAATTTCTTCACTTGCTGTAGGATGATCCAAACCTCCTGCTTCCTTCCTATAGGCCGAGGGACTTTTTATATTGGACATATCATTGACCTCAGGTGCATCATGCTCATCTGAAATATTCATATTCATTTTATTATTTGTATCTCCTGATGTTCTGTACTTTTCAATTGCCTCCAATCCATCTTCTACGGTTTGAGGATTTCCATGTGGTGCCTTTGAAGATGAAACAGATTTCTCAGCCTGTAGAGTTGCATTCCCATCCAGCAATGTTTCAGCTGATTCGATAATTGTCTGAGAATAATCAGAGTTTCCCTGAGTTCTCAGGAATTGAGAGCCAAAGGAATCATCAGACTTGGATAAACGGTTCAATTCAGCCTGCTCCCTTGGAATCCTTTCAGAGTGAAAAACACGCTGAGGTAAAATTGGTTCAAGGTAGCTAAACCCCGTTTCATGAGCCTCAGAGGCACCAAAACCTGAAGTTGGTAGTCCATCGGATGAAAATTTATCATCTTCAGTTTTCCTGTTCCCTTCATTACTTGCATCCAGAGGCAATGATTCTTGAGCAGTATCTTGATGCTTCTTGTTGCTTTTCGTAAGCAGTAAACTTGATCCTACATCTGTGTCCGAATTAATTACCTGTGCTCCTTTTGTGTTATAACTCAAAACAGAAGCATCATTTAAGTTTGATGGAATTAAGTATTCATGTTCAAAATTTTGACTTTCATTATTTTCGTCGATCTTATGGAGTGAGCCTTCCCTTGTCATTTGTGCATCCTTAAATGGCACATCCTTCTCCAATGATTGAATTTTATCAGGTTCATTCATCTTCGAAGTTGTGGTCTCTGTCACTTTCCCCTCTTTTAACAATGCATCTGAATCTTGCATAAAGCTACCAATTGGATGGTCTGTAGTTAAGCCACCATGTTGATTCACATGCCCTTTGCCGGGCAATGAAGGTAGATTTTCTACAGGTGTTGCATTGTTATTGAGAATGTAATCATTTTGTGACTGAATAGATGAAGGAACTGAAGTCTTTCCAACTTTTTCAGGTAAGCTCTGGATAGGGCGGAAATAAGAGAGTTGGGGAGGCCCAGGATCAACTTGCTGCAACTTTTGTCCTGACGATGGTTGTAAATTGGACTTAAGACCACTAGATGGATTTGTCCAAATGGTTTGAGAGGACTGAGATATTGAAGGTGCAGCAATGGTCAAAGATGATTTCATGTTATCAGACAATTCTGGAGCAACCTGACGACTCTCTAGTCCAACATTAAGGGCTAGTAACTCGTCTAAATTGTTCCCTGATGTATTAGCCAAGGGCGTTGAGATCCTTCTTGAACTGAGGTCCATACCATTTACAGCAATTACGTATTCAATTTCTGAACCACCCTCTGCACTTCCAGCACCAATTTGAGCATCCTCCAAATCAGAAATAGAAAACAAGAACATTCTCGGCTTTGTTGAGCCCCCATTTTCTGTTACATTACATTCCTCCATCATGTTCTGCAAGTCCTCATCACAAGATACAGAAACCAATGCATCAAGATCCTCACCAGGCAGTTGATATTTAATAGTATGAACTTGATCGTAAATTGTTGATGTTTTCTGCAGCAGGTTCGACCAAGAAATATCCTTGGTTATACGGAAAATACGTGTTTCACCCCCAACATATCTAAGTTTTCCATCGCTAGGGCGAGGCATAATTTTACCACCAAAACTGCACAGGAATTTCACCTTTCTTGATGAACTATCAGATGCTGCTGAAGACGTAAAACTGTGAACTCGATTAACATCATTTCTTGATGAGGCTCTTGGGTCAAACCTCATTGAATTGTATGAACTTTTGTCTTCATGTGAAGAGCCCCCTCTTTCAAAATGTTGGACTTGATCTTTTTCTACAGGGTTGAGCATGGAAATGCCAGATCCACTTTCTGAACTTACATGAGGAATTCCCAAAATGCCTTTTAAATCCACGTACCCTGTTGTAGCACCTGGGTCTGGACTATTTGTGGGAACAAAGTGATGCTTGGCATTCACCCTTTCTCGCATAAACTCAAGTGCAAACTCCTCGCCAGTTTGAATGGAGTAGTTGTGGACAGGACTAGCTCCAACTATCATATTATATTCAGGGGGTCGAATATTGGTACTGATGTTGCTCGATGGATCATGGAAAGATCTTTGATTTGTAGACCCAAGTCCCTGATTTCTTGCTTCCAAATTAGTAAATCGAACTTGTTCATAATTACTATGTTGATCTATAGTACCTCTTTTCACATTTCTTTCCATCTAGTTAAACTTTATGGGGACAGACTCAACCGAAGATGCCATGAATAGCACACACTTAAAGTAACAGTTATAGCTTCAGAACTCAGCCGATCATCTAGCAGATGATAATCTTGTCCAACAACGGAGAGCTTCACAGCGCTCAACTGAAAACCTGGGGGTTATATATTCAAAAGTTAGAAAAATGTATGGTGGGATCAAGCTCATAGCTCCGTAGTTAAGTAATGCATGGACATGATAGAGAATCAAAGTAAGTGTTCGGTAAGCTCCAACAAGGCAAATGAGGTGCTTTTCATGGTAGAATTGAACTCTTCAACTCCCAGTTTTAGAAGGGGAAAAGCTATATTTTAGCTACAGAACGAGGTTCCATTTTTCCTTTCATCGTGCTCTCTGCACCTTTGAGTGGAAATGTATATAAATATATATATCTCGTAAAAATGTAGTTATATAAGAGAGCTCTAGAAATCATATTCTTCTCGGTATTAAATTTTAGTCTGTAAATGAGCAGCAAGATACGTGAACAAGTAAAGCTCAAGATTTCATAACACCCGTTCGAATCTTTAGGAACAAAAAGAAAAACAAGAATAGTAATATATTGAAACTACTCGAAATAAGAAATTTTTAGACCGAGTGAGCCTTCCGCGATGTTAACCAATCGAGCAAAAACCTGAACGAAAACCCAATTGAGTAGGCTAATAAGGAAGTCCCAAAGCTCGCAAACGCTAGCTTAGTTCGTTAACATCAGCCGTCTCATCCAACACCCAGAATTCGCATAAAATAGACTTAATTCTTCAACTGTTAGCTATCAACCAGCATAATTGACCCAAAAAAATGTATCAAATAGCAACATCAAATATCGCATCGCTGGTCAGATTAAGGAACCCGACATCATAAATCAAATCACGAATCAGATTAAGAAAACTCATAATTAGTTTGCCTCGGGAAAGATCAAGCTAACCTTTTCAGTCGTGAGCACCGAGCGGGAAAAGGAAAATCTTTTGAAGGACTTACCGTACAGATCCAGAGGAACAATGGACTGTGAGATTTGAATTTTGCTGCAAATCAAGGTGGTCTGGTTTAAGTGGGTGTCGTCCCTCTCTTTTCACGAAGTGTGCGCCTTTGTACTTTATCCTCCCACCCTCAAAGCCTCGACTCTTCTTATTTTTGCCCTGTTTTCTAAATTTACAAAATAATAATTATATTTTGAAAAAACTACCCAAAAAAAAATCATCTTTAATGAATAATTACTTTCTAATTTTTTACGGGAGATTCGAATCAATTTCTAATTCAACTATCCTAAACTAATATATGACTAATTATTATTTAAAATTTATTACATGTATAATATACTTTAATAATAATAATTAATCGTAACAATTTCATAATTTAAGGTTATAATTACTAGCATGAAAAAATTTGGGTACCGAATATTTTTCCTTTTCTATTTTTTCAAAGCTTGGGTGCCAAATCTTTGCGTTCTGTGTTTTTTTTTCCTTTTCCAACTTTACATTTAATTAAACGTATGAAGCTAAAAAAAATGTTTTAATACACATTTCTATTTATTGCCACGTTAATTTAGATATTGAAACAACAGCACATCTCATGCCTTTGTTTTTTCATGTGAGAAAATGTCTTGTTTCGTCCTTCTCCTATTAAGCTATATATTGTTATTATAGTATTATTTCAATCAACTTTGATATTTAATTTTAGTTAATTGTATCGTTATTTTAAAATAATAAAATACATGTTTTTATCGTGAAGTTTCAAAATATGTATTTATAGTCTCTAAGATTTATGAAATAATTTTAAATAATCATTTAGTTAAATTAAGGGTTAGTTCACTGATGATATGACATTGCTAACCAAGCAAATTTTAGATGGAGGGTCACTCTTTTATAAATTTTAAATTATTTAACTAATATGGCTTTTATTTGATTAGGTGTCAATTTTTTTTCTCTCTTTTCGCTTTCTCTTTCTATTATCCTTTCCTTCTTCCCTCTGTCTATTTTTTATTTATTTTTCCAATGATTCGTGATTTTGATTGGAAAAAGAAAACCAATTGGAGAGATAGAGGGAGATGTTTTTGGTCTTTTTAAATGGTTCACAATCTTGATTGAAAAAAATTGGGAAAATTTCCAGTCATACGAGAGTAGTAGGAAACTTTTATATACCTCTTCGACCGGATTTATGTATGTCTCCACTTATTTATATATTTTATTTTCATAATAGATTACACATGAAGAAGTATGAAAATGTTTCATGTTACTGTAGGACTAGAGATTTTATTAGGGACGAGAAGAAGATTAATAATTAAAAAAGAGAAAGAATAATGGGGAGAAGGAAAAGGAGCGATTTTAAGAAAGGCAAAGGATATAATGTGAATTTGACATCTAAAAAATAAAAAAAAAAAACTTATGTTTTAAAAAGTGGACAGAAATTGGGTCTGCTGGAAAGTGGAAATTGCAATCCATGGAATTTTCCCACAAATCCTATTAGTCAACAAAAATTTAGTACAATTTTGAGTTTAGAACTAAAAATAAATAAATAAATAAAAGAAAAGGAGTAGGCCCAACCCAACCCAAGGAATACATTTTGGTCCAGTGCCGCGAGTAAGGAAAAATCTGAAATGCGAGTATTCCATCTGCCTTCCGTGCCCTAACCTCCAAAACTGCGAATTGGGAATTTCTGTACTCGCTCCCGAACCATAGTATCTTCCTCTAAGCTTTCGCCAACTGAATTTGCCAGCTGATACAAGTGACCAATAAAACCATCTGTGAGTTTCTGTAAGAACTGAGTTTTTCTTCCTTCCCATCATTTTCAGTAACTGCGTTAATAACCAAAGAGTGAGTGTCTTACCTTAGCTGATAGTTCTTGATACTTCATTTCCTCTGTCTTTCATCTTCTTTTCCCAGATCAATTATGCTTTTGAAAAAAAAATAAAATCAAAATAGTTAGAAACCGATGTTGCATGTACTTTACTTTGATCAAAATGTTATATGATTGAAATGAAAATGTTATTTGAAGCAGGGTAGTAACAGCATGTCTGCACACTGCATCCAGATATCATTTATTGAATTTGTGTTGTTATATATCGTTCTTTAAAGCTACTGTTAATTGTTGAAGTGGGTATTATACATGTTGTATGTTTTGACATGCCTTCATGTCTCTCTCTTTCACATTTTCAGCTCTGCGCAATTGAATGGTCTTCTTTGTGGCAGTTAGTCGTTAAATTTTGAACTATTTCTGTTGTGCCTTATTACCGAACTGAACCACTGCCTATTGCTGAATGAAAAGTCTTTTACTTTTTTGAAATTGGAAATTCCTTCTCCTCATTTACTTTTAACAAATACAAACATATATCGTTCAGGTACATTTTCAAAATACTCAAGACTCAGAAAAGGAAAATGCAGATTTATGTCAGTTTATGTTATAGCCATCAGGATAGATCTTGATCAGTTTTTGAGAGACTACCAAAGAAACAATAGCCAACCTAAATATGGATAACAATCCTGTGCATTGTGGCAAGGAAGTTTGTATTAGAGATGGCACAGATGGTTATTCCAACATGGTTGCAAAAGATAACACAGGAACAATTGTTAATATAGAGATGTCGGAAAATAGAAACACGGTTTACTCTCAGAATGTAATCAACTTGAAGTCTTTCAAAGTCGCTGAGCCTCATGAAGGAATGGAATTTGAGTCAAAGGAGGGTGCTTTTACATTCTACAAGGAATATGCCAAATCGGTTGGTTTTGCTGTCATCATAAAGGCCAGTCGTAGGTCCAGAATATCTGGAAAATTTATTGATGCAAAATTTGCTTGTACCAAATATGGAAACAAGAGAGAATCCGGTGTAGTTGAAGTTTCAGATCATGTGACAAATCCAGATAATGCAATAGTTATTCCCACGAAGAAAAAACGGGGTAGAATTAACCGGTCGTGGGAAAAAACTGATTGCAAGGCATGTATGCATGTCAAATTATTGCAAAGTGGAAGATGGGCTATCCATAGTTTCATAAAGGAGCACAATCATGAAATTTTCCCAAATGAATTTTATTATTTTCGTGGCCACAGGAATTTAGAGGTTGGTAGCAGCAATACAGATGTCTTCCATGGCAATAGAGCAAGAAGAAAAAATATATGCAATACAATGTCCAGGCAGTCTGGAAGTTGTGCAAAAGCCAAGAAGCAGAAGGTTGCTGTCGCTGATCAACGTAAGGTGCGGCATCTAGCTATAGAGGAAGGAGATGTTCAGGTTATGATGGACCATTTTGTATGTATGCAAGATGAAAATCCCAACTTTTTTTACTCTATTGACCTGAATGAAGAGCAGCGTTTAAGAAATGTGTTCTGGGTTGATGCAAAAGGCAGACTTGATTATTTCAATTTTGGGGATGTGGTTTTTTTTGACACCACATACATTAAGAACGAGTATAGATTGCCATTTGTGCCCATTATTGGCGTTAATCATCATTTTCAGTTTGTTTTGCTTGGATGCTCATTGGTTGCTGATGACACCAAGTCAACATATGCTTGGCTGATGCGGGCGTGGCTTAGAGCAATGCATAAATGTCCTCCTAATGTGATACTCACTGAGCAAGACGAAGCCCTTAAAGAAGCCATTGCGGAGGCATTGCCTGACTCTTGCCATTGTTATTGTCTGTGGGACATATATGGCAAGATTCCAGAGAAGTTAAGTCAGGTAATAAGACAACATGAAAACTTTATGCTGAAATTCGACGAGTGTGTTTTCAAGTCTTGGACAACCGAACAGTTTGAAAAACAGTGGCTAAGAATTATTGATGAATTTGATCTAAGTCATGACTCATGGTTTAAGTTATTATATGCAGATCGCGAACGATGGGTGCCTGCATTCATGAAAAACATTTTTTTGGCAGGGATGTCTACAAGCCAAAGGCCAGATGGTATCAATTCTTTCCTTGATAAATGCATACAGAGAAAAACATCACTCAAGGAGTTCTTAGACCAGTATAGAACTTTTATACGAGATAAATTTGAAGGGGAAGCAAAAGCAGATTTTGAAACTTTGCATAAGCAACCAGGATTAAAATCTCCATCTCCTTTCGGGAAACAAATGGCTGCATTATACACGCATGGAGTATTTAAAAAATTCCAAGTGGAGGTTTTAGGAGTAGTTGCTTGTCATCCAAAAAAGGAAAGCGAAGATGGAGAAATTAAAGTTTTCAGGGTTCAAGATTTTGAAGAGAGTCAAGATTTCCTCGTGGAGTGGAATGAAGCAACTTCAGACATCTCTTGTTTATGCCGATTGTTTGAATTCAATGGTTACCTTTGTCGTCATGTACTGATTGTTCTGCAAATGTCTGGAATACATAGTATCCCTTCTCAATATGTATTGACACGTTGGACAAGGGATGCAAAAAGCAGACAACAAACCACGAAAGGGTCTAATGTTGAGTCAAAAGTTCAGCGGTATAACGATCTTTGTCAGCAGGCATTTAGATTAAGCAATGAAGGGTCATTGTCCCGTGAGAGCTATAATGTTGCATTTGATGCCTTGGAAGAAGCTTTGAGGAAGTGTGAGAGTTTGAATGGCTTAATCCAACCATTCCCTGTAGTGCAAAGTAGTCATGAATCAGAAGAAGTAAACCAGGGTAAGAACACCAACAAGACCAATAAAATGAATGCAGCGACCATAAACAGAAAGGTAATTCAGTTTTCAGGCATTTTCAATGTTTACTACCTGACATTATTTTCTAAAATTATTCATTTCAGTATTCCTTTTCCACTTGTATAGGATCATTTCGAGCCACAGATTACAACTATTGGTATTCATGATGGCTGGCAACAATTGGTTAGCTTTTTTATGCTTGCATTATAATCTGCTTGTATATAAGTGCTGATTGATTACATTGGATCAATAAAATGTAACTTCCTGCTTGTAGGGACACTCGAATTCACGGCCACCATCCCTTCACTGTTCTGATGAACAGGAGGGCTTACAAGGGGTAGTGTAGTTCATTTTCATACCCCTTTCAATTCTGATCATATTTATTGTTGTTTAAAATCGTAGCATTTATATTCCTAGGAGCAACGGAGGACAAGAGCTCCATCTCTTGAGAGCTATTTTGGATCTCAACAGCTTGTGCATGCAATGGTAAGACAGGATTCTTGTTACTATGACCATCATTTGATTGATGGTTGAACCTATGTATTTCATACAAGTACTTCAGTCTATAAGTATCTAAGGATCGTTGTTTCTGTTCTGTTAGGGAAAAGTTAGCTCGATTGCATCAAGTCGCGATGGTTGTTTCGAGAATCAACATATCACACGGGGACTGGTGATTGATTCTTATGCCGTTCTGTCTTCTTAATTTATAATCTGCACCATCTAAACCTGTATTTTTCTTTTACATATGTTTAACAACTTAACTCAATTGCATCCATCAACGATGCTCGACATTTTGGAACGCAAGGAATGCAGGGAGTGGTAAAAGTCATTAAATCACGGATTTTTGAAGTTCCATCTGTTCTATTGACAATAATGATCATGTTTTATCAGCACATTGGCATTTTTAGTTGAGAAAAAAATTGTCTACTTGCAGGGGAAACTGAACTTCAGGCCAGACGTCGTTGTTCCTGGTCGCCTCAACATTCAAGTTGGTCCACATGATATGGTATGAAAATTGTAATTCATTTCTCTGTCTGTCTTATATGTCCTCCATTGTTATGTTTTACGGGTTCACTTATCTTGCAGGACCCGTCTAGTGCGGGATCCATAGAGGTTCATGGCGCTTCATCCAAACAAGGCAAGTGAAGATCTTTTTCCGTAGCCTCTCCGAGGTAGAAACTAGTTTTAGTGTAGATAATGGCAACGTGTTATATTAATATTAACAATCAACGATCAGTTTATTACATAAAAGGGAAAAAATGTAGTTATATATATATTTTTTAAACGGTATAGGGGTACCCGCACCCACTTCAAGGTCCGGTCCTGGGAGACATCAAAAGTTTTTAGTATTAAGTTTTGTTAGAAGGTTCAAACTTGAGACCTTTAAGTCAGCATGACCAAAAAACTTCAAGCCCTTACCAATCAAGTTGTCCTTTGAAGTTATATATTGGTCGGTTATCTAAAAATCTCCCATGTGAGTAATCACATTCGTCCAAAATGTGTTAATCGTTTATACTTCAACCATTGAAAACATGGTATCGAGTTGAATGTAATATAAATGTAAAGCAAGTAGAATTCATATTTTGCATACCACCATTAAAATGTTGCCGGGTATGAAAAAGAAGAGCAAAAGAAGATATATTCTCAATAAAATGAAGACTTGTCAAATTTTTAGTAGTGGTTTAGGTGCACCTGAATATGTATTTTTCAATATATATTAAAAAACTATAAAGTAATAGTATTTTTTTCCCTTAATGGTAAACAAAGGTTAGATTATAACTTTTTAAAATTTTTGTACATTTTCTAGGAAATTCTGTTGAGTACAGATGAGGATTTGATCCCTACCAAACTAATAATTAAGTCTACATGAGTGTCCATAAATTGTATTCTTCTCTTCACCTGTTCCATGCCATTCAACAGACAAAAACAAATCAAAATTTAAATAAGCAGATGGAAATTTCAACTTCTTGAATCCTTAATAGGCAATTATATGATGACATGAAATATTTGTTATCATCTTTGAAAACAATGGTTGAATCTCTTGACCAGCCTAAAAAAAAGTGATGTAACAACATAACTTTTAAAATCCAAGAGAGCCATCTCATTTTTCGTCCTTAAATTCATTTTGCTCTTTAATGACCCCACCGTTTCCCATCCCTAATTATCATCGGCGGCGGAAGACGACAAATCTTTTTTTTTCAGAGCTCGCCCCTTTAACCTGCTTTAAAGGATAAATTCATAATTTCTATCTCGTTTTTTCGTTTTATATTTTTGAAATTTAGCCTTATTTCTATATAATTTTACTAAAGTTTTTCGCCGTTAAAAATATATTTGAATTATTAGTTAAAATTTAAAAATTGACACATCTTTTAAATTATTTTCTTTTTACAATTGGTTTAAATTTTATAAATGTTTACAAAAAATTATACTACAGACTGGCCCGCGAAAACCCTAACCCCGCGGTTCGCCTCATTCAAAGTGGAGTAACGGTGGCCTATCTCTTCTCCAACGAGTTACAGAGGCGGCTAACTCACTCTCAGGGCTCATCTGAACTCTATTTTACACTACTATATATCAATATTAGGTGATTTCTGAAGCTTTGTTCCTCATCTTGATTTCTGGGTTATTGTTTTCTTCGTGGAGACTACTTTTTTGGGCCAAAAATATGAAATTTTTCGTCGGTAGTTCTCTTCTCTATATGTGTGATCGGTTTATTTATTTATACATTTTTAGTTCAGACAAGGGGTGAGAATTAAAAAAAAGACTGGTTTTTTTACTGATGATTTGTTTAAGTTGCATATTAAAGTGATGCAACTTGCAAGTCCTAAACTGAGAAATAACAAGAAGTACTCATCTAATTCCTCAGTGATGCAGTAACTATCCAACTCAACTTGTTTTCACTAATTCTCATGCTCATTTTTTAATTTGTTCATTTGTTCTGTTTTAAGTCAAAACATTTGTTCACTTCTTGGCTCCTCAAAAAATTCTGCAATTCAGGAAACCGTGGAATACGGTCTGTGGCGGTTTTTATTTTTGTTTATTAGTTGATCTTACTCGACCTCAATTCATGTGCCCATATCAGTTTAACTTTAAATATTCTGGATTTTGATATGTTGACTCAAGTTATTTTTCTTAACTGCCATGTTAGCATCATCTGAGGACAGGAAACTGTTAATGTTATCTTTGCTGTGGTTTCTTATGTCTAGTTTGGTGTGAACTTCTGGTTCTTGGATAAGTTCGCTAAGAAGCTTGTACTGTTGAAAGATATTGATCTTTAAATGATTCATTGGAAAAGGTTTAACTTGTAGATGAATTTGATAATATGAGATATTGGAAATGTATTGAAGGCAGAAAATGAGTTCCATTATATAGGTCTTATTTTTTAGGTTGATATATATATGGGAATTACGGTTTCTATGTTAGGTACAAATGTCACTTCAATGCCATTGCTAACCAAAGTGATTTTTCTTGATAATGTCGTAGTTAGTACAAAGTAGACAAAGGAAGCACTATCGTCTTGACAGGCTGACGGCAGAAAACAGTTGGTATCAAGAAACCAAGCAACAAAAGCGAAGGAGTGATAGTTATGTTTCGGTTTGTTGCAGCTCATTCTCCTGCCACGCCTATCACTGCTATTTCACTTGGAGAACCCCGTGCCCGGTCCTTTCTTAAGGAAGCCTCTCCTTCGCCGCTTCTTGTAATGTGCAATCACCAATCTTTATATGTTATTTTTTTCAAGTTTAGGTGGCAACAATCCCATATTCTATGTTTCTCTTCATCCTTTCTTCCAGTTTTTTTTTTCTTTTCATTATTTTTTAATTTAAAAAATTTTAACATTGTCCCGAAGCAGTCTTTATTCACCCGTATATCTGTACACACTCATTCTGTGCTGCGACGGTCGTGTTCTACTCTTAAAGCCATGGCTGATGCTGAAACCATCACTGTTACAAAGACTGCTTCATCATCTGCTTCTGGTAGTCCTCTTGTCCTTTGATAAAGGTCTATTTTTTTTCTTTTAATGAAAAGCTTTGAATTTTGTCTGTATGTCAGTAGTGTGATCTAGTGCTCGAAAGATATGAAAGGAAGATTTGTTTGTTCCCCCTAGGGAGTTGAGTTGTTAATTTCTTGCAAACAATTCAAAGCAACTAACATTTATGAACGTTGAAGATTTCAAAATTTTTCCATGTAGAGCTTCGGCTTGAGCTTTGCTTGTTTATGGTGTAAATTGACTCAATTGGAAACATTTTTTTGAATTGGATATGATTTCATAGAAAGTTTGATTTTTTTAAAGCGGACCTTTTTTTAGGCGAGTTTCTTGTGTTGTATCGACTTTGACAGTTGTCTGCTACTATGCTCAATTTCAGGAAAGAAGCTAGCTCTGATATCATTGTCAGATAAGAAAGATCTTGCATTTCTAGGAAATGGGCTTCAAGAATTGGGGTGACCTCTTCAAGACTTATTATGGAATTTTGTTGAAGCTCTTTGCTTGATCTTCTTGAAATCACTAAGATGCCATCCACGATCTTTTAGTTATTTATTTATTTTAAAATTTTAATTTATGGCGCATGTGTTGTCATGCCTTAAACAAGCATTTCCCTGTAGAGTGTGCCATGCTCTTTGAAAACTTTAAAAACATTGAAAACATTGATCACACCCTGTATCTTATGAACTTGCAGCTATACAATTGTTTCGACTGGGGGAACAGCATCTACTTTGGAAACTTCTGGGGTACGTGTGACTAAAGTGGAGGAGCTAACAAGTTTTCCTGAAATGGTATGCTGCATTTTATATTGTTTATTCAGATTCTAAATGGAACAAGCTTCCAAAAATTTTATTTTGTTTCTTGGAGAGGTTGATGGCAGGATGCAATGTTGTGGTCAGTTCACCATTTTGCTTAGATTCTAGAAACTTATTTTAAAGTTATGCATAGCGCAAAAAAATTGACTGTTAGCACCTCTACTGAGATTCTTGAAGCCTTATTCTATGAAGTTAGAAGCAGATGCACTCCATCTCTACATAATTAAATGCTCCTATTCTGGTTTATGTTATTCTTTTTACAATACGTTGTTGAATATTTTCATTTTGTTTACCTTTCTATTTTTATTCTTGTATGAAGTTTACATAAAATTAGGTGGACACTTTGCTGGTCATTTTTTTAATATGTTAATTATGATTTTTAAGGGATCTGATATTTTCAACTATTGAAGACGTTGTAGGTTGCGGAATAGTTAAATATTATTTTGTTTCTCTTCAAAATGTTCTGATGACATTACCATTTCCATCCCATCCTCCTGAGGGGTTTCTATTATTATTATTATTATTATTTTTTTTTTTTGAGTGGGTTTCGTGGTGGGGGATATGAGAAATTAGAATAGATATGCTTATATCTCAATTGTTTATAGAATGATATATTTGATTTACTGGAACAATTTTGTGTTGTGGTGGCAGCTTGATGGCCGTGTAAAGACCTTGCATCCTTCTATACATGGGGGTATTCTTGCTAGAAGAGACCAAAAGCATCATATGGACGCCCTAAATAAACATGGAATTGGTTAGTTTTATACTTGTGTTTTATAGCATTTTGTGGTTAATCTCTGGAATTCACACCTGGCTCCTAAATTTCACCTGAAATGCATGGTCTTTTGTTGCTGCATAACTTGCATCCTGTTTTCTGACTGCAGGCACATTTGATGTTGTTGTGGTAAACCTGTATCCCTTCTATGAAAAGGTCACCTCATCTCAGGAGGTTGACTTTGAAGATGGAATTGAGAACATTGACATTGGTGGCCCCGCTATGATCAGAGCTGCGGCGAAGGTAGATAAGTGCATAATTATGGGTAAATTATGGTCAAAGTTGATCTCTGGGCTCATATTAGCTTCTCCTTATTTGATATGAATATCTGATTAGAAATGAAATACAGGATATTGGTTTGTCGATTATTACAAAGTTGCTCATACAAATACAGTCACAACCTGAAATTGATGAATTTTCTAAAAACCTCCTGAGTTAGCCTAGTAGAAAGTGAAAAAGTAAAAGGACCTTGGAGGAATGTGTTCGAACCATCATCCGTACCTAAGACATTAAGTTCCTTTTAGTTTTTCTATAATAAAATATTGTAAGGTCAAATAATTATACCGTCGATACTCACAAATTTATAAAGGAAAAGAAAACAACAAACTGGCTCAAAGGAATCATTTCTCTAATGTTATCATGCTCTTGAAAGCATGAAAGATTTATTTAGTTTAGATTAGTTTAATCTCGTGGTGTAAAATTTAGCACTATTTTTAATTTACAGTCTTGTACTAATGTGCGCACGAATGTGCATATACAGAATCATAAGGACGTTTTGGTGGTTGTTGATACACAAGACTATCCTGCACTGCTTCAATTTTTGAAAGGAAGTGAGGACGACCAGCAATTTCGCAGAAAGCTTGCTTGGAAGGCGTTTCAACATGTAGCTTCTTATGATTCTGCAGTCTCGGAATGGCTGTGGAAGCAAACTGTTGGAGGTAATTCTCTGTTTCATCTGTGCCAAATTCAAAAGAGAATGCCATAAGCCCGTAGAAAGGCACAATTTGCTACATGGTTACTCATTTTGTGCTAGCATTGGTTTATTCCTCTTTACCCTAATCACTTATTTTTTCATTTGGTCCAAAATAAAGTATCCACTTGTCAATGAACTATGAAGAGAAAAACATTTGCTTATTTTTTGTTTTTCAATTACTCTCGTTCAGAGATACAATATTATTGTGTTAATTTGGTGAAATATGTAGACTAAACAGTTCTCTGTATTTGTTGGAAGATAAATTCCCTCCCAGCTTTACTGTGCCTCTTTCCCTCAAAAGTTCTCTTCGCTACGGGGAAAATCCTCATCAGAAGGCTGCATTTTATGTTGATAAGAGTCTTTCTGAGGTCAATGCTGGTGGTATTGCAACAGCAATCCAACACCATGGAAAGGTTAGTAAGTATGCCTCTCCATCAATTCATTTGTGAGTTGATGCTACATTAAATACACACTTGTCAATTTGAGCCTTTCTGCAGGTATTTATGAATATTAACATGGATACATAGTGGAAAGGATTAATTTTATCTATTATGTTTGTGTCTAAAATTTTTTCTGAATGATAACAGCAAGTCCTGCCCTGATGATAATGTGGAGATGTTTGGAATTTATTACATTTTGATGTGAGGTCCCAATAGTAAATACTTGTGTAAGGAAGGGTAAAGAGGTGTTACACAAGTATTTACTATTGGGGGCTCACAGTTTACCGCTATTACACTGGTTTATTGGAAGTCAATTCGTTGCAGTGTGGTTGATTTATTGTTTTAGACTGATGGCTTTCCCAAGTCAATTCTAAGAAAGGAAGGACCGAGTAATTTAATAATTTTTCTAATGGTTTTGCCCCTAAAGAGTAATATAATCCTGTTTCCACAATGAGGAGTAGATATTAATATGCGAGTAATTGGTAATATTCTACTTGTTTATGGTACTTAAGACTACTCTTAGGTTAGTTTCCTAAATTCGTAGCACAAGTAAAAGGTTAAATTTTAATTTTGAAGCTTTCTCTGTTCTCTGCTTTCCATGATTATGAAAATGCATCATTAACATTCAAATCTTTAGGCTTCTCCCAAGTATGCATAAAGATTTGCGGTAGTACATTAGGCTTCATTCTTGCTCAACAGTTCCATTGGAATGTGAAGTAATATTGTCGTTTGGCAATGAATTACCTGAATCTGCCTTATTACACTTCATTTTTTTTTTTTTACTCTATATGCCATTTAAGTTCCAGTTGCTTAGCAGCAGACTTTTGTCTTGTGCAGGAGATGTCATATAATAACTACTTAGATGCTGATGCAGCTTGGAACTGTGTATCAGAGTTTAGGAACCCTACGTGTGTAGTTGTGAAGCACACAAATCCATGTGGTGTAGCTTCACGCGACGATATTCTGGAAGCATATAGGCTAGCTGTGAAAGCTGATCCCGTGAGTGCATTTGGTGGCATTGTAGCCTTCAACATCGAAGTTGACGAGGTCAGGGTGTTTTCTTTTCTTAAAATATTATAGGTTTGAGGTCCAGTTTTCTGCATCGATTTAAATAATTCTCCTCTATCAATAACCTTGGAGTTCGATTAGACAATTGAGATGGGACTCGTTGTTGGTCATGAATTTAATTTATTTAATAATCCATGATAATACTATTTTAACTATTGGAGTAGCTGACAACAAGTAACTGCAAGCGAGACCAAAACTCCAGCTACCAACACATCAAACGTCAAGCAATGTCATGGAATATCTATAATTATCAAGATACTGTTGTCATGTAGCATCAAAATCATCATTTTGTTCACCGAGATACGTTTATGCTTATATCATGTTGTGAAGTTTGTTGCTTACTACATGAATGAAAGAAGTCAAGTAGATTCAATGCTTTTACTCTTATTCTGTTTAGGTTCTCGCCAGGGAAATTAGGGAGTTTAGAAGCCCTACAGATGGTGAAACTCGGATGTTTTATGAGATTGTTGTTGCACCCAAGTACTCAGAGAAAGGGCTTGAAATCTTGCGTGGGAAATCGAAGACTCTACGAATTCTTGAGGCAAGCAAAAATGAGAAAGGAAAACTATCACTCAGGCAAGTTGGTGGTGGTTGGTTAGCACAGGATTCAGACGATTTGGTTCCACAGGATATACAATTCAACATAGTTTCTGAAAAGGCTCCTCAAGAAAGCGAGCTTCAAGATGCAGAGTTTGCATGGTTGTGCGTCAAGCATGTTAAGAGCAACGCCATTGTGATAGCCAAGGTCAGTATAATATCCTAACTCTGAATTCTCTTGACATGTTTGGATTCTGTAAGGAAATTTCTGATACTGTCCTTTTTGGACAGAATAACTGTATGTTGGGTATGGGAAGCGGGCAACCAAATCGTCTCGAGAGTTTGAGGATAGCCTTGAGGAAAGCAGGGGACGAGGTGAAAGGAGCAGCTTTGGCTAGTGATGCATTCTTCCCATTTGGTAATCTCTGGGAACACAATGGTTTGAAGTTGCTAATGTGCACATGAAAAAGATTAAAATTTATATTTAGAAGACTTAAAAATTGCACTCGCGGTTTCCTTCATATGTGGCATGACAGTAACGATCTCTTTGTAGCTAATTTGTTTATAATGACAATGCACATCTCAATTCTTCTTATTTACGTGCAATTTTGGCAGCTTGGAATGATGCAGTGGAAGAAGCATGCCAGAGTGGAGTAGGTATTATTGCTGAGCCTGGGGGCAGCATTCGAGATCCCGACGCTATTGCCTGCTGCAACAAGTACGGCGTGTCCCTTGTATTCACCAATGTAAGGCATTTCAGGCATTGATGATGCTCGTTTGGGCCTCTGGTTCTCCTCGCCCTTCGGGCCCCGCTCCGCCCTGCCCGTGAAATCTTTTAAGCTTTAGTTTGGACACCACAAGATGTGAACATCTTTCTTGTTGCAGAGGTTGGCGTGGTTGTAAAACAAGCAATTCATGTCGTGAAATTTCATGTGCTTGAAATGGGTTTACATGAATCCTATAACTTACAATAAATAATAAAACGCCTCTGGATAATGGATATCTTGAAGTATGTTCTTTTTAAATCCCCAACTTCTGTATGATTATTCTCTTACCGACGGCTACAAGTGTCCAAGATTCACCAGCCAAGCCATAGTGTTTTTTACGAGCGAAATAAACAAAAAGTTTGGGCTCGCAACAATTACACTTTGCATGAAAATTATGCCATTCTCGTGAGTTTTTCATTTAAAAGTAATTTTAGTTCTTTTATCCACAGCAAGTGATTTATTGATATAGCAACGAAATTAGAGGTCACATTTGCAGAATGAGTCTTCCATTCAAATTATAATGTAACCCAACGAAGAAAATGTTGTACCCCTAGCATGTTCCAAGCAAGAAAATTCAGAGATTAAAGCAAGGAAAGTTTTGAAACTAAAATGTAACATTAAAATTTAGTCAAAGTTCAAAAACCTAATAAGATCTAAATCTTCATTCCATACTCCGCAATTCAAGTATTAAAAAATAAAAAAAATAAAAAAACTTCAAAGTTTTTAAAGTATAATCTTTTATCAAATAAAAATTGTCAGCAATACATAAATATTTAAGATGCTAATAATTTTTGCTATTTGTTTAACAAAAATTTGAACAAATGATTCAAATAATCTTATTAACCTAAATCAAACCAATCCAAGTTCGATTAGCAATTAGATTATGTCCAAAAAGCCCTTGACACAACCCATAAATTTATTTATACCCCACAAATATTACCCCCAAAAGGAAAAGCAGTAATAAAAGTGTCAAGTTCATTCAACTATTGAAACACCAGTAGAACAAAAGAGACTGCCATTTTGGGAAAATATCATGATACTGAAAATTGCAAATATTATTATAAAACACAGAGTCTAACCAAGCCTGATCTAAATTCATGGAGATCGAGAAAGCATACATTCACTATTCCAAGATGACTTTTGCACCAAGTGCCTTCATCTTTTCAATTAATTGTTCGCCCTCTTCCTTTGATAGTCCCTTCTTCAACACTGATGGCGTTTTCTCCACTAGATCCTTTGCTTCCTTTAGACCTAAATCAGTAAAACTTCTCACCTCCTTGATAATTTTAATCTTTGCAGACGCTTCATAAGACTCTAGTTTCAACTCATAAACAGTCTTTTCTGGCTTCTTCTCCTCCTTGGCAGCTGTTGATGCCTTCATCGCCATTCCACCCAATCCTGCAGCTCCTGGTTTCATAACTCCAACAACTGGCATATCCGTCATTCCTAATTTTTTCCTCAAAATGGTGGACAATTCAGCTACTTCAACTAGTGTGAGTCCAGATATTTCATCCACAAGCCTAAAAACACGATCCGTTGGAGGACTACGATGCTCTGTTGGATCAAAATTTGCTGGATCGTAATCAGCTGGAAGCCTTCTCTGGTCAATCTCTACCTCGTCCTCTTCCTCCTCTATTCGAGCAGGTTGAGCATAATTTCTATGTAATCCATTTGAGTTGAGAGGATTCAGGGCAACCGCAGGAGAGCGAATGGTGTTTGCAAATACATTGGGTAGGAGGTGCCTTATTCTTAAAACCAAGTGCATTTCTCAAGTTGCCAAATTATTTTTCTCCTTAGGCAGCAAGCTATTTAATAGAAACCCATTTCTTGGCTTCCGTAAGAGAAATTCAGTGGTCTGAACGGAAAAGAAAAATAAGTCGATAAACAACATTTGATCCTATTGAGAAGTGTTACTTATTAGAATACATTTGAAAAATGAAAGAACCAGGGGGTTTTTTTTTTTTTTTTAAATAACATTAACTGAAGGAGGTAGGGATGTGGAGAATACAGATATGGCGGCACCACAAATCTGAAGTGTGACGTTTGGTTTATATATGTGAAATTGTAACCAAACTTTTACCTCTAATTAAAACCAGTTTTAATCAACAGGTTCTTTCGGTTTCAATTTAGGCCTATAAAGACAAGTAAAATTTTCAATACGAATTATCCAGAAATGACTAAAGAAACTTCACTGCAAAAATCTCTCTTACAAAAAATCAAATACTAATTGTATATCCTCAAATAAACAACAAAGGAAACACGTAACACAAGAAGCAAACTGAAACAGAGAAATGCCATCAGTTCAGACAACACTAAAATCCTGTTTGTTAACCAAACCTAATAACCTATATTGCGATCAATCAAATAGTCCACTCAAACAACTGATCTTTCCCACCATTAATTAAAACAAAACGCCACAAGACGGCGGAATCAAAGACCAATTCATCAAACATCAATCGAATATAAGACTTGCAGAAAGCACAACCCAAAGAAACCGAAACTTAAGAATATAAGAACTTACACTGAGAGACGAACATGAGGCGCCGATGAAAGGAGGCTGCGAACCGGCGACTCCAACGCTGAAATGAAAGCAATGCGGTGAGGGGGAGGTGACGTGGTAGTTTGAGGAGAGCCGTGAAAATTGGTGGATTGCCGATGTTGAGTGCTGAAGCTTGAATCTGCGAGGGAGAGAGAGTATCTTGTCCAGAAATGGAGGTGAGTGAGCTCCACAGGAGAGAGCGCTGCAGATCAAAGGGAAATTAGGGCTCCCATTTGTTTTTCTTTTAAGAAAATACACATTTTAGCAATCAGATTGGAAACGCTAAAGGGCTGGGCCTAAGGGATAGAGATGCGATAAATGGGCCTGGCCCAGGGATGACGGAAGCGGAATATTATTGGGCCTTCGATATGTAGGTTGGGGCTAGAAGCCCAACCCTTATTTGGTGTGCGAGTGATTTTTTTTCCTTTCTTTTCTTCCTTTCAGATTTCTATTTTATTTCTTTTTAGTTTGTGTTGGGGTGCGAATTTGAATCTACAACATTTTAATTGAAGATATATCTTACGTCTTTGTCATAGGTAGAACCATAGAAGAGTGAGTTAAACTTTTTTCCTCCATGTTTTGTAACGTGTTATATAACATCGTTAATATGTGTTAATAATCCATAGATATGGAAGATTTGACATTTAATTAAAATAACAATGATAGCTTGAAAAAGTATTTACTCTATACGTCTACATAGTTAAGTACCTTTTATCCTCAAACCCCGAACCTTCTACTTTAAAACTCATTCTTACTCAAAAACACAATTTTAAAACTCACCTAAAGCACTTACAACAAACTAGTCAAATTACCTATTAAATTATATATATTAATTTGAAACCACATGCCCCTAAAGAACAATTTAATAAGATTTATAAAACATGTTAGATCAGCGTACAATTTATTCGCATCAAATAAGTATAATAGAAGGAAATATAATTTTAAAACTATAATCATACGTAAAAAGTAAGTAGAAATATTATTTTATACATAAAAAAAAAAGGAAAAAAAAAAGAGCGTAGAGAAGAGGGAAAAAAGGAATTATGGGGTATGGGGGAGATAAAAGGGGAAATTGGTAATTCCAAAGAGAGAGGTTAGAGGGCGCATCTCCCGAAAATGGTAGACGAGATGACTACAATTAGGTGTTATTGATTGAACCGATGCGCATAAATTTACGTTTAAACTTTAAACTTTAGCAAATCGATGAGGTTAAAGGAGAGAATAACAAGATGCTTGAGGTTGATGAGACCCAGCCACGAGACTGCAAACCCTATGCCTTCGCACTTTGCTCGTAACACAACCTTTGACACGACACAAATAAATGTATTTGTACCTTCAATTTCTATTTTAATCTTTCATTTTTTTATAAATATATATATATATATATATATATTACAAATTTAGTTCGCAATTTAGATTTTGTTTTTAGATTTCAGATTTATGCATTAGTCAAGAAATCAATTTTGGATTATGTGATATATAGAGTCTAAATTTTGAAAACAATATTTTCGTGTTATCTATGCTTTTAGATTTTGAAGTCCAAGCTTTAAGGTAGGATTATACTAAAAAGAATAAAAATTTTAATAAGTATAATATTTTATGTTTTAAATTCATTTCATTTTTGTTAAAATTGAAATATGTAAAGTGCAGTGTATTATAAATTATATAATATTGTGAAATAATAATTCTATCAAATTTATAATACGTATACTAATAAATAAATAAATATTATTTTAGATTAAACAAAATATTTAAATAGTAATTACTCTTAGTTTATCAAAATGAGCATAACTAAATATACCTCTAATCAAACTGTGTTAGCTTTGGTGCTACTCTTCCCTCTTTTTTTCCCATTTTTAACATCAAAATGTTAAAAAAAATTATATATAATAAATAAATAAATAAATAAATAAATAAATATATATATATATATATATATATATATTATAGTGAGATTTATTCACTATTTTGTTTTATTAATTTATTATCGATTATATTTTATTGGTTTTCAGAAATTCAAGATCTTTCATATCTTTAGACTTTCATCCATTAATATCCTTCACATCGCATATATTATAAACGTATCACAAACGAGTAACTTCTAGAAGTCAAAATATTTTTTATGCGTAAAAATAAGATTAAAGGTGAAAATATAACATTTAAAATTTATAAGTTAATAAAAATGATGCAGTTGAAAAGTAGACCACGTCAGAGCGCAGGTGAAGGACGATTAGGTCATCTGACAACATGAGCTTTGGATTTCCGAGGGTAATTGCCTTTGTAATTTGTGCTTAAAGTCCTTAATTACCATTATTCTTTCATTAATATTATTAAAAAAAATACATATGTTTATGCTTTTTGCATTTTATGGCACATACATTTGTGTTTTCTAGGAATTATTTCCGAGACGCAGGAGAATATATAATAATTAATAAATATAACACAGTCAGGGACTCAGGGGTCATTTTCCATTCAACTTCTCTGGTTTTTCTTTCTTTTTTGAAAACTCGTCGCTGTTTATTAATTATTGTTATTTATTACCCTTTCTCATTTCTTTTATCCCGTACTAATTAACCGTATATATTTTTTCTTTGCCAAAAGTTACCATTATTTTAATTCTCTCTTATAGCTGTTAACCTAACTTTTGTAATAGAACAATTATTTAATAAATAAGAAAGAATTACAAGAATGGCATAAAAAATGTATATATATATATATGATATTAGGTTTGAAATTTTTAAAAATGACATAAATTACAAATTTATACAATCACACACAATCAACTAAAACTCATTTTGTGATCTTTTAAAAAAAAGTAATTATATTTTTATAAAATACATATTTACTTTATATTATTTAGTCTAATTTGTCTAAATAAAAAATATTTAATAACATGGAAAGAATCAACATAATTCTAAATGAAAGTATCATTTATTAATCATCGAACAAGACAAGAAAGTGACTGATTCTATTTATCATACATGTAATAGGTATGTTCAATAATATACTACAACAGTGGAATTAGGGACCTGTTGATTTAGTCAAGGTAGAAGATCTATTTGGAATCTACAAAGTCAATATAAATATTTGTGGCTAGAATTACTTTCTACCTCTATCCATTATCTTTACCACAATCAAATAAATTTTAACTTTTTCCTCTCGTAAACATGATATGTAAAGAATCAAATATCATATTGTCCGACAAGTAATAAATCATGTCATAAAAGAAAAAAGATACTCCGTTGACTCTTATTAAGTTTTTATTCGTCGTCACATCAAATGTCTATTTTTGAACCGTTAATCCATTTTAATGTATCATTTCACATTATCACTTATTTTATAAAATAAATTTATCATTCAAAATCAATTAATAGAGAGAAACAATATGTTGGGACCAAAACAATTTTTGTTATTTATTTTTTAGTTAAGGGGGACTCAGATAATTAAGATTGAATTGAAAGTAATACCTTACAAAGAAAAACAATAAGTGACCGAAATTAGGTTAAGAATTGGGCAGCACGCATACAGATGAAATATAAAATAAAATTAGAGACAAAAGTGTAAAATAATATGGGAATTTACTAAATGTTGGGTTAACACATAAAAATTAAATTACTAAAAACGGCACCGTAATGAAAATCGAGGGGGGGCATTTCTGACAAAGTCTTGGGTTGCTAAAGTCTGCAAAACACAGAGAGAGTAGTATTAAGCAGAAAAAAGTATAGGTTATTGGTGGTCAGTATAGCACCATTAACACAACTCCCAAGTCCATGCTCTTTTGTTTATTTAATTGTTGGTTTTTTTCTTTTTTTTGCTTTTTGGATAATATTTAAGTGTTGAGAGATTATTTTTTTTTTCTCACCACAATTAATAGAATTGAAAAAAAAAAAGGATTATTTAAACAATAAAAGGTTGTGAAAATTTTTAGTGGTGATCAGAGTAAAGACAGCGAGTAACCAGCTAATATTTTTATTGGGTTTATTCTCTCTCACATAAACCTGCTCTCTCTCTCTAACTTTGGAATAACGACAAGGGTGTCTCGAGAGAAGGCTGGTTGAGTCATGAGCAGCAGCATTAAAAGGACAGGAAGAAACAACATTGATATCAGAGTTAAAAAAAAAAAGGGTCATAAATACTAACAAGAATAAATTTTTGTACTCTACTCTCTTTAAAATTTGTATTTTTGGTTATTTAAAAGAGCAAAAAGGTTTGGAGTGGGAGGAGTAATAGAATTATCAGGAGGAAACAGGTGGGGGTGAAATTGCAGTGCAGATCAGGGAAGATGAGCAGTGGTGGTGTATGGAAATGGCCAACATGATGATGATCAACCACTGCGGCGGCGGCGGCGGCGCGATGGCGGGCAAGCCTGCATGGCTACAGGCCCTCATGGCCGAGACGTTCTTCGGGACTTGTCTCCTCCACGAGAACCGCCGCAAGAGCGAAAAGAACGTTTTTTGCCTCAACTGTTGCCTTAGTATTTGCCCTCACTGTCTCCCTTCCCACCGCTCTCATCCTCTCCTCCAGGTATCAATCTCTATATTCTTTTTTTTTTCTTCTCAATTTTCCCTTTTCAATTAATTCATATTCAATTTCCATTTTTTCTTTATCGGTGTTTGGGTTTTACAACTTTTTTTTTTTTTTGGTATGTTATATGTTGAATTGGAGTTTCCCAAGGGAAAAAAGGAGAAAAAAACTTATCCTACTTTTGGGATTTGGTTGCTCTCCTATTCGTAGACGACTCCATTTTTATCCATCTTTCCTGCCAGAGGCCTATCAGTTGTTGCTTTCAATGAATGTGAACGTTTGACAATTTTATCCTCCTTTTTCCTCATCTCTTTCGTATTGATCTCAGACTTTATCTGAATTATTCGTTGCACTAAAACTATTCCTTTCCTCCCAAATACGTTGAAGTTTCTGCCTGGTTTTGCTAATTTTGAGATTAACATCTTAATTAACCAAGTTTTAATCTGAACCTTACCTTGATTGGGAAATTCATGTCAATTTTGTGCGGTTTGCCAGGTCAGACGATATGTTTATCACGATGTGATTCGATTGGGTGATCTTGAGAAGCTTATTGACTGTTCCCATATTCAGGTATTTCTGTTGCTTCATTCATAAAACTCTCCGACATTACTGTTATCTTTGAGACCTGAGAGACAAAATCTGGTTACCTTTTTAGTGTCGGTGTGAAGCTAATTATTATTGTTTCTTTTCTTTTTTTAAAAAATATATCTTAATATTGAGAATCAGCGGTATAATTAAGTGAGATGGATGTTGTGAATTTTGCAGCCGTACACCATAAATGGTGCCAAAGTGATATTCTTGAATTACAGGCCACAGTCTAGACCATGCAAGCAAGGCTCCTCCAACGCTTGCTTTACCTGCGACAGAATTCTCCAAGAGCCCTTCCATTTTTGCTCCCTCTCTTGCAAGGTACATCGCCCAAACCCTTCAAATTTCTAATTTCAGTGCATGCATGGTATTTTTTGGTTAAATTTAACGTAAACTATTGATTTAAGCTATTGAATTGAGTGTGAATATTTACTAAAGTACTAAAACCAGACATTAATGTCATTTTCTAAGTCCGAAAAAATAAAATATCAAATTTACTATCCCTGCTACCAAGATCATTAAAGATCAATCTTGATCTTATTCTTACCACAATTAAATATGTGACAACTAATAAAAAAATATAGAATCGCAGACTTTTTACGAGGCTTTTTATAAAAATTTATGAATGGTCATATTGAAGGTCTCACCATGCCCCGGTGAGGAGCCAAACGTATTGGGTTAAATTTTTGAATTTAGGGGGTAATTTAAAAATTTTGCAGGTTGATCACATGGTATATCAGGGGGAAGATTTATGCGGCATTCTACACAGGTTCGACGAGTCGGATTTCTCATACTCACAGTTCGAGGGGCTGAGAGTGGACGGGCTGGAAGGAATCGACGACGACGGCCAAATGACGCCAAATTCCGGCGTGGAAGATCCGTCGCAGTTCAATAAAGCCTCGTCTTGCTCGAATATGAGCGAGTTAGCCCCCACCAACAACTCGGTCGTCTCGTCGGGAACTCACATCTTCAAGAGAAAGAACAAGGGCACCGATTTCCTCCCCGCCGGAATCGTTCTCTCACTCAGTAGCAGAAGAAAGGGCGCCCCTCAAAGGGCCCCTCTTTCTTAGACGTCGGAATCGGATACCATATTAACCATCAAATTTCCCAAAAAAAAAAAGTAAAAAAAAGAGAGAGAGATTAATAAATAATTCAAGGTCAGATCGAGTTTGTTTCTTGATTATATATGCAATTTAAATTTGTGGATTTCGTTATATAAATAGCGGTATTATCCCGGTAGGGGGATGGTATTGGCAAGTTAATTACACGGCGGTGGGTGCAGGTATTTACCCAGTTGGGTACGGAGATTTCTAACTGCACCCACCAATTTTGTATTAATTCGTGTAATTATGCAAAACTTGCACGTAAATTATATTGTCCGTTGGATTGTTGTTTTTTTCCGGCCCTAATTTTGGTTGTTGCCTGTTATCCAATCTCTGCCGTCCATTTTCTGGAATGTGTCTTCTGACCTTCTCTTTAATCAATTTGGTAAATATCAACTTCATCACGTAAAAGTAGATAAATTGAAAAGTTATTTTAATAAAAAAATAGATAAAATGCACTTCTCATTTCWCAATCTAAAAATATTTTTTTGCAATTATATTAATATTTTTTTATCTAGTTTGGAACCTAATGGTTTGAAATTAATTAAATTAAATTTATTAATTTGAAGGTTGAATGACGAGGATAAGAAAACAAAAAATTTACTGAATTAAACTTTTTAATCTAAATTTATTAATTATAAATTAAAATCTGACAAAGGTTAAATATTTAATTTACTTGAAAATTCTATGAAATCCTGTAAAACCTCATCATTTTTATTTGTATAATTTAAAAAAAAAATGGATTTGAAAATTTTCATTTAAAATCAATAGAGTATCACATAACCGAATTCATTTATTATCTTTCATAATTTTGAAATCTCTCAAAATTTGAATTAGGCATCCAATAATATATATTATTAAAATTATTTAGAAGCACTTAAATGGTGCTTTTTCTCAAACTCGCTATAAATTGTTACCTACCAAACAGAAAAGTTGAGTGAAAAAGTAGATTTGAGGACGGTAAAAAAGGTCCATGCTTTCTGATTAAAAGATTTATATGGTGTAGGGGAAAAAAAGGATGGTGTGTAGTTTATCAAAAATGATGAGATCATCTTAGCTAGAACGAGAGGAGGATTGCAGTGGTAGCTAGGGGCAGTGCAGAAGCAGAAGCAGAGGGTTAATAAAGATGCTGGATATGAAAGCTCTTACATGTCAGTTTTCAATTGGGAGCTCTTCTTGCTGCGATCACACAACTCTACTGCCTGGAACCTGCTTCTGTTTCCCATATAACTACTGTCAGATTCTCATCCCCAACATACACTCCTCTGATTTATTATAACCACATATTCCAAATTTTAAACAAATAATATTTACATTTACCTTAACCCTCGTCGTTCAAAAATTTACGATTAAGAGACCAAAAATATAAATAAATCAGAAAATCTAAATTTTATTTTTAAAATCTAGCTCTCAATTTTTAATGGTGGTAAACAAGGAGGTATATATAAACACATTATTATTATTATTAAACTAAATTAAATGAACGTTTTAAGCATTGATTGAAATTTAGAAATATAAATTTTATGAAAAATATCAACAAAACGTCAATGAGAAATTATAAAAATAAACAAATTCATAACAAATATTTTAATACCAGATGAGTATTTCAATATTATTAAGTTAAAATGTATTGATATTAATATTATATCTGTATTTAGTGATATTTTGTTGATTTTATGAATTTCTTTTGATATTATAAAAATATAAAGTCACAGTCACACCGCTAATAGGCGGAAGAAGAGATTCCCAACTATCGACTCTAATAAGACTAATAGTCGATGTTAAACAAAGATATTTCGTTATGATACTATATTAAAAATGAATAAATTACCAATAATCCATATATCATATCTTTAGCCATTTTATAATCGAATTTTATAATCGAGTCTATGGAGTGAAAGAGCGATAATTTCCCAAAAAATGATTCAAATACATGAATTAATTACTAGGTTGAATGGACTAATTTCTCGTGTGTTTAATGTAATATATATATTGGTTATTTGCTTGGGATGGTGGGATTTTAGTGGGTGCGGGAGGGTGCATGGCAGGGCAAATGGCGATGGGGGGAGGGAATAGTCAGAGAAATCACGTGGAGATGCCAGCTGGCGGCAGTATTCTAGTGTGATTCATACTCTACGAAAGCTATAGAACCTAGTAATTAAGTAAGATGGGCATCTCGTATAGCTGGCGTACACGGGGTGCATACACGTGTCCCTACACTGCATCAGGATGTAAGTCATAACTCGATTGGACACCTGAAAATTCGATACACCGTTTCCCACTTTATTGTCTTCCTCCTACGTGTCGTCCTGCCATTAGCACCTTCAAAATTCAATTACTCTTTTATTTCCTTCAAAATTAATTTCATTCACAAAAGAAAAAAAAAAAAAAACAAAAAACTTTTGGTACTTGTTCACAAAATTATTCTTGAGTGACAATGATGTGATTTATGAATCAATTTTAACATGCAGTGCTAGTACTGCATGTTGGATCTAGAGAATATATACACATATATTTTTTTTGGTTTACATGAACAGCATCTATCATCTAAATCAAATTTAACTGTAAAAAGTAAAAAAATTATCTTATTTTTAAAATATATATTAAATTAATTTTATGCATGGAATTTTTTTATATATTTATTAAAACAAAAATCAAGATTATAAAATTTGGATGTGATGTTATATTGAATACAAATTGATTTTACTATTTAATATATATTTTTATTTTTTTGGGACATCACGGATGCAAAATTGGGTATCCAAACGCTTTATGCTCTCTGAGTACTATTAAAATGTACAGAATAATGGTGTACGGCTTTCTGGGCAAATACGTGGAATAACTATTCATGTTGTATCAGACAATATGCATCAAATGATTCAAACTTTAAATTTCTGTTACATTTTTATTCATACTGTACCTTTTAATTTCTTTTTATCGAAGCTAGAAGATAAGTATAAAGTCTGTCAAAAAAATATAATTAAAAAAAAACACGCACACACATACAATTATAGGGGGGATGTTGTATTATAATTGAGAGTTTAATTTATTCAATATGCGTTAAATGGAGGTGTTGATTTGACAAGTCTTGCGTTGACCGTGTTGTATCTCGATTCAAGCGGCATATCATTGCGCCGGTACAGTGAGGCTTCAGAGCTTATCATAGACTTGGAATGGAAAGCTCTGTTTCTCGTTGCATTATTTCACCAATGCAACGCACATGTATTAAAATAAAAACAATTACTCTTTCTTTTTTCTAAACTAACGATAATTGACGTATATCTACAAACCAAAAATTGTAAATTCGAACCTCCACAATACATATTGACTAAAAAATATAACGTTGGTGTAAGAGGAGATGATGACGAAGAAGAAAGAAGTTTGAAAATTTTCTGCTACATGTCACATGTTGAAGCCCTACACGATGAGTACGAATGACACACGCATTGCTACTTCAGGAGTTCATATATATAAACTGTCGAACTATTCTAACTACCCACTCGCCAATACGAAATTTGATGCTCTCGAGTATTTCTAGATTAGATAGTGTGTACCGTTATCATCTAGTCGTTGGCAGCTTATAAATATTCCGCGTGAATTGAATAACAAGCTGGTACGAATTCAATTATCATTTTGAATTTGAAAACTACAATTGAAAATTGAGTTAGGCACTGCATAAACTTGATTGCCTATTGTTTGAATTGAGTGCTTTAGTCAATTTTTAGCTAAAAGACATCGCAGAAATTTGATTACATATTGTTTAAATTGAGTGCTTGAGTCAATTTTATGATCTATAATATATAGATGAAGAAACTTATCTTCTCCGTAACGTGAAATATAACCTTATCAAAAATAAAATTAGGAGAGTTACGTTAAAAAATGAAATATTTTGGGAGTATTGTTGAAGAGGGGAAAAAGCAGTGAGGGATTGGGAATTGGGTGTGACCAGCGGTCAAGGAAGGGAAGGGAGTGGAAAATGGAGATGCCATAATTAGGCAAAAGGTTAGAGAAATGGGTGTGGGGAGAGGAAGAAGGAAAGAAGACACAAGTTTGTCAGAGGAAAAGATAGACCCCACAAGACCACTTGAGGTAATTGGATGGCAGAGGTTATAATTGTCCAAAACCTTTGACCAAACCTTTGACCCTACCCCTACACCTATAACCTATTGCCCATAGGCCTAGTTTTGTCTGGAAGCTAACAACATGCAAAGGGCAGTGGAGACTGGAGACTGGAGACTGGAGGGGGAAGGTTTTGGTTTTGGTTTTGTCATCCTTTGGCTTTGCCTCTGCACCCAAAAACAAAAACCCAACACAATATCAATATCTGCTGCTGTTGCTGTTGCTGCTCATTTTTGAACTGCCCTTGCCCTCCAAATGGCCTAGCTGTGCCTTTGTATCTGTATGGTTGCACTCGCAGGTGGTGCTGCCCCCGCGCTCTCTCCTAGATTTATCTCTATGACCAATTACAACATTTTCTCCTTATTTTCATGCATATTCCGCAAAATATAATGCTCACACTTGTTGTTTACATCAATAAAGGCAAATGCAAAGATATGATTTATCACGTTTAGAATTGTATTTAATAGGTTTTTGAGGTGTCATTCTAAAGATTTTAATTTAGATAATCAATTTTGCATTTAAAATTTTGACCCAAAATAATAATATATCTAGCTCCAGTTTAAAAATATGCAAATATGACATAATTTTACTAAAAGAAGATCCATCAATAATACATCCCTACAGCCCTGACGTCTATCGTACTCGATGCGATGGATTGATAGTCACTAATAGACTTTTACTCTGTAAAATATTTGTATTTGCAAAATCTTTATTCCTTGTGGTATATGTTAATATGGCGAATTAATTGTGAACTATTATATTTTTTGTTTCAATTTTTATGTCTAATATGTTATTGACCTTTTAGATATAAATGATCTCTTGGACATATATTTTTTTAAATTTTATTTGTTAGTTAAATACAAAATATTGAAAGATCGTTGAATCTATTAGATATAATCTTAAAAATTTAGGGACTAAAATTTTAATTCAACCCTAAAATTTTGGGCCATGGTGATATCAGGTAGCCAACTAGACGTACTTAAAAAGTATGGAGTGGATGCGTGGGAAATCTAAAACAAAAGATATAATTTGCCCAAAAAAGATTATGAAATCTAATTAAACCTGCTAATTGCGTCCTATCTATTTCTAGTTCCATCTCGTCTAATTAAATTTAAAGAAAACATTCTAAATCTCAAGCAATAATTTATATTTGTCTTGGGGTCAACAAATGCC